AGTGGGGGTGGAGAGGAGGGCCGGGATGGGTTCTGGCTTCTGCCTGGGTCTGGCAGCCCCTCTGGACTAGAAGCAGCCCACCAAAGCAGTGGAGAAATAGCAACTAGTGACTACAGCTTTGTCTAGTGCCTACTTGGTTCGGAACTGTCTGCATCTCCACATTTTTTGCTTCTGAAAGAGACACAAAAACATGTTGAGAATCTTTCAGTTTGCATGCCTGGCACCTAGCACCCGTCTGGAAACAGGCAAGTGCTCGCTAAAGGTTCTGGGGCTGGAGTAACCCGGAAGGGCAGGACCAGCCTACACGTTTCTTCTCTTCCTGCCTCTGTGCCAGCAGTGACGCCAGAACGGAGCTGTGAGGAGAGTTAGCCAACGCTGGGGGCCCTTTGAATGAGGACCATTCTCAGGAAAATACCGGACTGAAGTGTTCTTATCTTCCTTGTGGTGTGTCCTAGTTTCACTCTGCCCTTTCAGCACATGAAATCACAGCATTTAAAAATGGAAAATCAAGGTTGGTCCAAGGTATGAATCTTTTCCTTTTTCTTTTTCCCTTTCTTGTCATAGATTAATGCTGTAGAATGGAGGGTTCTGAGCATTAGCTCCAAATGGTTTGCTTTGGTTTTGTTTACAAAGGTGGGGAGAGCTGACCTTTATCTAATTATGCCTTTTGCAAGAATACTGAGCAACTCTGGAACCTGGCAAACACCAATCCTCCCCTCCTAGACTTTTTTAACTGGAGGGAGAGGACTGGCCCGCATCTTGACTACTGTACCTCTTATGCACACAGCTGCCATCACCAAATAAACACAGCAGCACAGTCACTGGCACAGTCCCAGCCCCACACTTTTATTGCCTACACCTTTGTTTTTTCTCTCTCTCTCTTAAGCATTGTCAAGAGTTGTGCAAAGAAAGCAAATTACCTGTGCTCCACCCAAGCATATAGGAAGGACAGACTCCAGCAGGGCAACCAAGAAAGGGGAAGTAACATCCAACCTAACAGCAAGACAGTTTGGAATCCTTCTCCGCGGACTAGCTGTGTGACCTTGGAGAAGTTACTCCATGTCTCTGAGCTTCAGATTCTTCAAAGGTAAAATAGGAATGATAGTAGCAAATGCATCTCACAGGCCTGTCTGGAGGATTACATGAGCTAACAAGTAGTAGATGGTAGGTCCTCCGTGAAGAATTCCTCTCCTGTGATGGCAGCTAAAAGGGTGTGTGTATTAACCTGAAAACACCAATGGAGACTCCTGGAGGCCGGAGGTGTTCATTTCCCAAGCTCCCTGACACTTCCCTGTCTTCCAAATTTCACTGTAACTGCCTCAAGCACGTTCAGACAGAAGTTTCTCGTGTTCAGTCACCCTCTCCAAACAGTTTACATCCTCCGGCCGCTTGTCGGTGGGGGCCCCAGCACGGGCTCCCGGGTAGGAACCATTAACTCATTCCCCCAAGTACTGCCTTTCTGCTGAGATAAGTGGATACAGGAGGGAGGCCCAGCTACCAGTCACCAGCCACAAAAGGGAGCACTGCTGCCCTTGGTCTCTCTCTACAGGGCTCTTAGGCCCACATCTGGGGAAACAGCTGGTGGGAGAAATGGAAAAAAAAGTTCTTCTTGTTCTTCCTGACGGTTTGTATTCCAAAGGCAGTACTTGAGAGAAGTGTCTTCCAGGCTTCTCCCCATCCATTTAAGGGCACCGACGAGAAATGAAAAACATTTTCAGTCCACCCTTTCTTTGCTCTCCCTCTCATTCCCTCCCCTTGTCATTCCTCTTCTCTTTTCCTAATTCTGACAGCTTTTCCAAGTATCCTGGTGCCAACTGCTCCACAAGGAAAATGCTATTTCCCCCTAAACTAAAAAAGATGATTATAATAATAATCATTTTGAGGCAGAAAGCTCAAGGACAAGGTAGTAAGTCCAATTTTTAAATCTTATTTCTCTACAACAAATAAAGTACTACATCCCTGTTGTGGGAAAGGAATCCAACAACCCATATGTGTAAATAGGATAAAGCCCTCCATGCTCACCCACTCCCCTCAATCCCATTCCCTGGAGGTGACCACCACTTACCGGTTTGGTATGCATTCTTCCAGACGTCTCTGCATTTGGGGTCATTTGGCAGATGTACAGTACTTGCCTACTGTGTTCTGGGCAGTGTGTTAGGTGTTAGGACCAGTGATGAATGAACATAAATCTATATATGTACATTGTGTATTTATCTGTCCTATCTATTGCCAAAAATAAGATCATGTTTCTCAATAAGTAATGCCTCAGAGCCACTTTTCCATGTTAATATGTAGAAATAAATACATACATACATGATATTTATGATTTTAACAGCTATATAATATTCCATTGTCAGGATATACCAAAATGTACACAACTCATACACACTGTTTTAAAAACAAGCTGCATTCCCTCTGCTGGCAGAATAAAGAGAAACCTGCTCCATATGAATCACTTGAACAGAACCTAGCCTTCTGGAGAGGGATGCTCTGGGGTCTGTCCGCTGCACAAGGGTGGAGAGATGGCCAGCCTAATGGGCTGACCCTCAGGACTCAACAGGCAGACAAAGCCAGCACCAGGAACCAGTGTACCTGCCCATCACCCAGCTGGGCACCCAGCTAGCCAGTGGGTAACTAAGTTCACACCCGGGTCCCTTTGACTCCAGAGCTCCGGCCACCACAGCTCCCATTGTAGTCTGCTGTCCTTGTCATTCTCTTTCCAGGGTCTCCTTTGGCAACAGGTTCTCTAGGCACTGATTAAACAAGGAGAAGGAAAGGCAAGGAAATGCAGCCAGAGGAGAACTGTGTGTGTGAGTTTTGTTAAAAGTAGTCACTTTTTTATGCCTGTGGATGGGGCAGAGCGCACGTGCACACCCACACACTCTTAGGGGGATAGGCAGTGAGTCCTCCCTTTGTGATGGCAGCAAATGCTGTTGCTTTAAGCAGTTAAAGACAGTAAGAAGCTCTTGCTTCATATTCCCAGTTTCCTCCTCTGGAGCTGCTAATGAATAACCGATCTTAACACCCAATTTCAGTCCCCTCCTGGCACCTTCTGAGGCCAGGCTGCTATGATCAGGCTGAGGTCTAGGGCAGTGGGGACATTCCTTAACAGTTACTTAGCTGGGTGGTGAAAAAAAATGCAGCCTAATTGGCCAGTGGCCTTTCCTAGTGAATGAAGGAGGTTTCTGTTTTAAGAAATAAAGTGACTTCTCAGCGGCTGTTGATTCACTGCCCACAGGGAGATTTTTGAGCCAAGGCTTCCTAGCCTCGGTAGAAATTTGCATACAACTTCCACTTCCTGCTTCAGAGCCTGTTCCACGCCTTACCTGGGCCTGGAGAGGGTGGAGGGAGGCCGGAGCAACCCAAGGTGGAGTGACAGAGAAGGAGAGAGTATAACCACCCCGTGTCCTGGTCTGTCTGTCCGTGGTGGCTCTAAGGTAAGTCGTACAGTGTCGGCGCCTGCCTAGACTTACTTCTTAACCTCTGACCCATTTTCCAAAACACTGTTTTCTTCTTTACTCAAATGTGCTGCCTTTCCTCCACCTTCATCTCCCCACCTTTCATTTGTTCGTGTACAGAGAGACCAGCTTGGGCTGAGAAAATGACAGTTACGTTTCTGTTAGGAGAAAGTGTGGTGGTTTAGTATTTCAGCCGGGAGGATCGATAGATTAACTCTTTGAGGAGTGGGGACACACATCCCCCACCCCTCACCCCCGTGTGCTTCCGAGCCGCCTGGGAACCATTTGTTGGCGTACTTAGTGTCCCCACAAGTTTTCATTAAAAGGACAAGCCCCACTTCTCCAGGAGGAAGTGGGGGATGGCAAAGATTAAGGAATTGGTTTCCGGCCCCGGGACACGTCAGTGGCAGAGATGGAAGGAGAACTCCCAAGTTTTCTTGATCCCTGTTTTACTCAGGGAAAAAAAAGCAACACCACAATCTTGGGCCAGGAAGTTCAGCCCTGCTCTGTGCTGGCTGTGAGCCGCCTTCTCAGCCCCCGCTCCCACCGCCCTCCACCCTCCCAAACAACCCACACCTTTTTCTGGCACAGACGGTAGGCAGCCTTCACGGAAAAGAAGGGGAGAAGTGATTTTATTTAATCTTAGAAGCTAATCAAGCTTCTTGTGTCTTTCAAGTTCAACATGGTCTCTTAGCATAGGGGGATATTTTTAAATGAACGAGGGTGGAGGGAGTGACCAAATAAGTAATAAAAAAAGAGGACAAGAAACTTGGTTTCAAGTTCTCACTCCACCCCTTGCTGTGATTCTGTGACGTAGGCATTTCACTTTGGTTTCGCGAGGCCTGGATTTCTTCATCACCAACATGTGGGTGGGGGCCGTGAACTAAGAAGATTTTGTCTAAATTCCCTTCTAACTAAATAAGGCTAGGTGATGGGAATTCCAGAGGGGTAGCCATAGTGGGTGGTCTTTAGAAGATGTGTTTTGTTTACTGATTATTTAAATATATTAATTTTACCTCTAGCTACTAGATGGTTAGTACCTGGAGGAAAAGGACTTGCTTGTTAATCCTTTCCACCACCTAGCACTCCGTATAATAACAAACAGCTCTTAGCTCAAGCTCCTTCCATAAATACTCCGATTTCCATTTCGCTCATCTGCTGTCAAGACAAAAGGTAAAGCAATGGTCTGGGTGAAAGGCTGGGGGTGCGGGGAGGGCAGTGTTGGGCAGCCATGTGGCTCTGTGGGAGGGCTGCCTGGAATTTAGGCATTATTATTGGCTCTAGCTAAACAGGAGAAAACAGAGGGTTTCTTGAATCAGTTTATATCCCAGTTGGGTTCCCCAGGAAGAACGGGCCTGTGCACTTATCCACAGAGTCAAGGCAGGCCAGGTTGCTGGCAGACAAGCCTGGCTCCAGAAAGCTGTTTTACTGACTTAGCTGGAGCTGGAAACCACTGCTTGGCTAGACCCGTCACTGTGTGTGGGGCCTTTAATGGGAGGTGAGAGGAAGCTATAAAGCACATCCTGATACCATGTAAGGGTAAGGACTAGGATTAATGACACATTAATAGGTGGCGGACACACAGAATCCAGAATCCTTAACCTTTTCCAAACCACTACTTTTTAAAAAGTTGTTGTTTCTTTTGAGCCATTCCTCCCCCTCAGTCCAGTTCAAACAGACCCTGGCTGAGTGCGATGGGCTGACTCAGGGCTTTCAGTATTGCTAAGGTGTTTCTGTGGAATATCAAGGCACTGGGATGGTCATGTTTTTAAATGGCTCTCTCTCTCACCCTGGCATGAGGTGATAGGAATTTCAAGAGGTTTCACCTGTGATGAGTTACTGATTTCAGTTCTCCAATAACACGCACCATTATCTGAAAGCAGGCTAACTGTTGTTGGCTGCCAGCCTTGCTTTGATCCAGAAAGGCCACCCACAGTCATTCTTCACCTGGGGTTGCTAGGTCACCCAGACATTCCACGATGGAGTGTCAGGAGATAGATGCCCTTGCCCTGCTCGTTGCTGGGGATGAGCTACCTGGGAGTGAAGTCTGGGCAGTGAACCACTGTGTTAGGGAGAAGACCCTTAACGTGAGGATGCTCACCTTTGGAGGGTGCAAAGATGGAACATATGTAAACCTGCTTCTCTCAGGATTAAGGAGTTAGTGACTTGCAAATGCTCTGGGAATAAGAAGAGGAGAAGGCAGTTACATTTGCAGGAATTCTTTGAAAGGCACTTGGAAAGATCGATTATGCGGGTGGTTTGTCTAAATTAAATCTATGTCTTGAAGAACTGAAATCTCGGAAATATCCTAAATTTGAATCATTTTTCTGCTACAGGCAATTTTAGATTTAGCCCTTAAAAACACACATGAATTGCAGGCAACTGCTGCAGGAAAAAAAAAAGAGCACAGATGCAGCACATTAAACTTTAAATTCCTTTCATATCCAACGAAATGACCCCTAATGTTTGATCACATTTCCTTATCAAAACAATCCTGCCATCCCTCCGTGAGAAAGCATCTGAGGATTAGAATCAAGAAGCTCTCCCCGCTCCTCCCCCACCCTGGGCCTCTCCTGTTTCTTCCTAGTGTATTGTCACCAAGATATTTTTAGCTCAAGAAACCCAGGCTGTCCTTCTCCCTCCGATGTTCACATTCTTTACACCTAGTGCCCGACATACCTCCTACTCTCCCACGTGTGCATGGATGCCTGAGCGCTCAGCTCATTTGTTCTGTGCCTCTGTGTCAGTGTGTGTGTACGTGTGTATGTGAGCACAGATGTGTACACAGGCCTTCCCAGAGACTGAAGCTTTTAAAGTGGCTGAGGGAGGAAGGTGGGCTCTCATCCCCCTCGTGACCCACAGAGCTGTGCCCGCTTGGCAGAGTTCCCTGAGAAGGCAGCTGAAACCCAGCTATTGGGATTGCCTGGAGCCACCACCCCCACCGCCCGCGTGACCGCCGTCCTTCCACCCTGAAGACCCAGGCTGGCTGGGGTCTTCGCAGCTCCCTCAGCCATGAGGGAAGCTTGGCTCTTCCCTACCTCTCTGTGTTCCTGCACGCTTGGTTCCAGTGTTTTTCCTTCTTCCTCTCCTCGGCAGGGTCCCCAGGTCTCCCTCCCACGTCTGATCTCTCTTTCTCTTCCGAGCTGCCTTCCCAGACTTCCCAGCTCACCAGATCACCTTTAACACTCTTGCTTTTTGTCTATATTTGTTCTTCCTCTTTCTTGCCGAGTGCCCCTTCTCCGATCCAGCAATACGTGACAATCACAGTTTAAGTAAGCCTCCCTCCTACGCCAATAAAGGACACATTTTTTAAATTTTCTTTCAAGGTTTCCCACTTTCCTTGCCTCTCTCCTTTTCCATTTTCCTTCCCTCCTTTCTATCCCTTCTTCTTCCTCTCCTGACTTTTTCTTTCTGCCCCTTCTCCTTCACTCTGGGGTCTGGAATGAATTAAGAATCACAAATGTGAGCTTATAGAAACCTTATCTGAAACAAAACAAACAGACAAAAGAACCTAGGGGCTGGTTTGAGGTTGCTCCCTAAATGTTTTTTTACCGACTTCCCACGTGGTGGAGTCAGTCCGCTCCCGTTAGTCCATCATCTAGTTGAGCAGCTCAGAGGAGTTTCCAGAACGAACTTCTGCAAATCAGGTCAGGTCACGCTGCACTGCCTTCAGCCTGCTGTGAGCTGTACTTTGCAGGGTATGAACAAGGGCCAGTAAATGTTCCCTTGTCTCTAGGGCTCACCACTGCTTCCAATCCTCTGGCAAACCAAATGGAAGAACTTCTGTGTCTGGGAAATTCTGCAAGTAAACTTGGAAATATTTAGTCACTGGAATTTGAACCTAAGCCACACATTTCACTCAAAACCAACTACCACTAAGCAAACTGAGATTGGGAAATTTTGCATGCATTTGGGCAGTAAACAAGAACTTTAATGAGTTTAAAGATTTTTTTAAAATCCAGGACTATTAGACACTTATTTTAAAAATTTCTCCCTAGGCAGTGAAGTAAGACCTTGAGAATCTGTAATTGCAAGTATCTGATCCAAATTGAATCTGAGGATCTTCCTAGCTGTAAATTTATATATTTACTATGTCCACCTGAAACGATCATGCTGCGTGTCTCTAGAACTCTTCAACCCTATTGTCGACCCAAAGATTGCTTTAAAAAAATCCAAGCAGTTGGTAAGAGCAAGCTTTGATCATTTAGGAGCTGGTAATGTGGTTTATTAATTACTCAGGCTGCTCACTCCTGCCCGTCCTCTGTTTCTTGCTATGCTATTTGTCTTCTTCCAGGGACATAACACCTTCATTAAATCCCATCCGTCCTTGCCTCAGAGGCGTCCCCTGGAATCTACCCGTCTCCAGATGCATCACCATTCATCATCACCCTTTGTTTGTGCTCTGTCAACAAGTTTTCAATTTATTTTGAATTCAGTTTATGATTAAAATTTAATGAGATCCAATCAAGTGCTTTTCTCAAATCAAGATGCCTCTGCGGTCTCATCCATATCCTCTATTGTAGTGGCATGAAGAAAAGCCATCACAGGTTTCCAGCCTGGCCATTCTTTATGAAATGCAGGTGGCATGTGGCCACGCCTCCTTAGCTTCAAGGTGAATGGTTCCGAAACCTGTTTATTCCAGAAGCTTCTAGGAGTTACTCAGCGACCCCATCCCCCCTCTCCTCCCCCCAAGTCGCTGTACAAGTCAATGCTCCCAGCCGAGGTACACATGGTTCAGGGCACAGGCTCTGGTGCCGAACTACTTGGATTTGAACCCCAGCTATGCTGCTTGCTGGCCCTGTGACCTTGGGAAAGTTACTTAACCTCCCTGTGTTCAGTTTCCCCATTCGTAAATTGGGGCTGACAACAGTACCTACAAATAGGGTGACTGCAAGGATGAGTTAATGCACATAAAACCCTGGGAACAATATTTGACATAATTGTTCAAAAAATTAATAACAATTATTGCTAACAAAGGG